CATTTACTCAACTCAAATGCTGCGAGCTGGGCACTCAAGCACTGTTAAGGGATGCCTCGCGGAATCTTAACTTTTTTTGAAATTTGCAATAAAAAGATCATTCCGAAGAAAAAGAAGAATTAACATCGTGGAGGCTTTTGGAAGTTGCCTACTTGAGAAGATCTATATCTTGTCTGCCTTCCAGAAAAGTAAGAGAAAACTATAATTTGTAATAAGCTGACGTCCCAAAAATGTTGACTATAATTGTTTGTTGATAAGGCTGCCTTATCATTTAGTTATCAACCAGCTACTCGTCTGGCATGTATATTTACATTTTTTGCACAAAAGAACAGGAAGAATATGGAAAAGGGTTGATCAATTTTTTTCGCCGAAGCCTGCGAAGCTTTTTGGTATATTTACTTTCTGATAACATAACTTTAAACTTGCTCTTGTACAATCGCACCTTCATAAAAAAAGTAATGTTTGACAACCGACAGAAGACTTTCCAAAGCAGCTACTAAAGAAACAAATTCCAGTTATTGATGCAGGTGGGAAAAAACAGATTGAAGTTCCTAAATGCTGATTGAAATGAAGTTATTGAAGCTTAGCCGTTATTTTCAATACATCGCGGTGCCTTTGGATGCATTCACGTATAAAGAGTCTTTTCATAGTAACCACAATCTTGAAAAGACGGGTTTTCGTCCACCAACTTGCTGCATAATTTGTTTTAGGCGTTTTGAAAAAATTGCGCTTTCAACAATTTTAAGAAGCAATCATCATTGTGGTTTTAGAGTCATGAATAATTGAAAAATAAGCATTTAAAATGTATTTATGTTTCGATGAAACAGAATTGCTTAATAATTTTTCATATTGTATAGTTCTTCTTAGAGGCAAGTAAGCTGTCAAAGAATCAAAACCACTAGGCAAACAAGTCATTGATAAACAAAGATCACTTTGTCAACAAACAAACTAACTTTTTCTCAAACGTCGGCTTATAAGGAAAGCAGCGCAATTATTTGCTATCGTTTTGAAATGCAAACAGTGTTTTATCCATGTTTTCGAAGATTTTTAGCGAAAGCAACAAAAAAATCTCAAAAGTTAACCTTGAATGAAGCAACCTTTTAGTGCCAAACACCACTCAGCGAGCCGTTTACCACTAATTTTTAAGAAAAAAAAAAAAACAGGGAACAAGACCCAGCAAATCACCCTCACCTTTAATCCTGAGAAAAGTAAACTCTCA